CCTAAATAGGTAGTCCAAGAACCAAAAAAGTGGTACGGGTACCAATTTTATCCGTGCCGTACCAAAAATTGAGCGTAGTGTAAACGGGGCTTAAATGTTTTTCACTAATAATTTTAATACTATGTGAGATTCAAGTTTAGACGCTGTTTAATACACTAACAAATGTAGGCGTCAGTGCGATCAATAACAACGCGGAATCATATTGGCGGCAGGTATCTAGCTGAATGCCAAAAATATAATTTAGATCCCCTTTTCTTATTACATGATGACATCAGTACGAAACCATACAGTGGTACGTAAGCGTACGAGGAGGGCAGGAGTGGCCTAACATAATAGTCGAAAATGCAAGATTTCCCAAAATTTTAACCCCTTAGTACGAAAATGCTTCCAATCCCCCCCCCCCCCCCCTCCCCCGTCAACAACAATTAACAAGAATATATCGAATTATAATTTATTCTGATATTACTAATTGGTCCTTTGCATACTCCTTAATACTCCTTGCATTCGAAACTCGAAAGTGTCGACTGTCGAGTGGCGTCGGTTGACGGTTCAATTCTTTTCTATATATTTGAGAGTAGACATACTGCTAAGTCTATATTTAAGGTACGTAATAAAATTATATATACTGTTTTAATATAGCTAATAGCAAGGCGTTATTTAAAGCTATTTTAAAACTCTTCCTAAAAAGTTGAAAGCTGAAATTGTCAAAGTATATCGTACGATTTGTAACAACTTTTTTCAAACGCTTTGCTTGGGCATCTATGTTGGGAATTTACATAACCAGGCATAAAATGCTAAGGTCTTTCAACTACTGCAAGGATTTCTGAAAGGCTAGCTTTTTTAAGGCCAATTTTGTAGATATTTTTCGTGCAGATTGACACGAGTAAATACTTACTGTAAAATATCACAAAAATCATAAATGTTGTTTTCAATGTACTATTCTGTTTATAGCAGAAAATGTAGCAAAATGAGGTACATTATAGTAGGAAATAGTTGCAATTGGCAGAACGAAACTACATACAATAAATTATTCTATGTACATTTGTACCACATGATGTGTTTGACAGCTAGCATATGATCATACAACATATTTGTTAAATATTTCATATTAAATGTGTTCCTGTATGAAGATTTTCTTGTATGTTGTGATTCTATATGATGAAATTAAGAGTAAGTGATGACAATCACTACAACAAAGAGCAAAAGACTATTGCATTTTGTTTTGTTTTTATTCACTCAATTACTCAATGTGCTTTACTCATGGATTAATTAAGCCATCACAACCTGAGACTTTCCCTTGCATGACAAGTAAAATTGTCTGACATTATAAATAGAGTAAAACATTAATGTAGAGCTCCCAGGATTATTGTGTGATAAGCTATTAGTACTAGCCAGGGGCACTGACCAGACAGCCTGCAAGTCCCAGCTTGTTGACTGAAGAACAGCCCTAACACCATCCATATGCATTTGGGGGGTGGGGGGAGTTAAAAGATTGCCCAAATTTTTATGGAGGATTGTAATGAAATAATCTGAATTTAATATAATTTCTGTTCTCACACTGGGTTGCCGTGTAGTCTGCCACCGCAAAAGTAGCAGTGCCTTTATTAACAATTGTTTTCATACACAAAATTAACATACTAGACTCAATATTAATAACCTTAAACAATGTCTCGAACCACAAGGGTGGGCGGGTGGGAACTACCACACTTGCGGCAAAAGACAAAACATGCTCTATCTCGAGGCGCATGCCCATATAAGGGCATAGCACCTCGCCTGGGGCCCCCCAGTGTGAGAACCCGTTTCTCGCTTCTTTCATACTTCAGCCAGCGAGAAACTATAAATAAATCTGCCCACATTTTGAATTCTTGATTTTTCCTAGCATTTGCCCGAATTTCCATGGTTTTCCACATGGTTTTCCAAAATTCGGTGGGGGGGGGGGTAGTTGCCCTGCCCCCTGTCTCGTATGCATATGACAGTGGGCCTCTTTATGCCCAACACTTTCATCTTGATGGTAAATTGCATGACATAAAATGGAGTCCGACTGCAGAGTTGGTCAGAGTGCCTCAAGATTTTTTGGGGGAAATGTTTTAGTGTCCTTGGGAAGTGTTTTATATGAACAATTTTCAAGGCCCACTTGCAATTGCTCCGATTTCTAGTGCGATATTCTTCTGATGGACCGATGTGATTATGTGAATGAGTAAATAAATTATAAATGCTCTGAGTATATCATATGAGTATTATGTACATCAAAATGTATATCTAGATGCGTATCTAAATATTCCTAACTAGTCATCCACTTGTTCACATACATCTGGAGAAGAAGACCGCACCTAAAATTGCAAGTGTAAACGGGCCTTCAAACTGAAATCAGTGCCCCAAGTCTCTAAATCACATTGTGTTTAATACTTGTTTGGTCACTTTTATGCCCCTGTGCCTAGATTTTTAGCTTTTACGCCACCAAGATATGATCAAACGGCACTCTGCTGAGCTGAGTCTGGAAACAGAGTAAATAGCAAAGTAGGGCACATTGGAATTGAAGCTTTTTCGTGTGTTGACAATTGAAAGTAATTGTTCTATACCCCTTTTATAAGAATGATTGCAGTTCTTTGCCCAGTTCAGGAATGAGAGTAAAGCACATAATACCTGAACTATAATTGTGGTTTTTCATTTACCAAAAATTGACTTTGTATTTTACTATAGAATAGCAAGCATGGCACAAATACCAAAAGGCCTGGGATATATCAAATCAGTTCCATTCTTCTTAAATATTGGATCATTTGTAAGTGGATTGACTGACAAAAATATCACCAAAATATTATCTTAAGCTAGTTCTATTAAACTTATTTCATAATTTTAATAGAACTGTGGGACCTTCATCGGAGGACTCTGCCTGCATGGAGCCTCCCAAATGTTCCATCTGTTTTTGTACTTAAATGGATTCTGAGGTTGTAAGGTTTTAGGCACTCAAGACACTATAGTGGGGGGCCATTAAGAAGGAAATCCTGCCTCCTTCAAACTAATTAATTCTGAAAGTTTTTGAATGATTGATTGTTGGACAAAACTGTAACAATGATTATAAAACCAGGAAAGCCATGACAGGCTATAATTTCGACTTATTTGCATTAACTTTGCAGTATTAATTAACAAAATAATTTGATTATAAAGACGAATTTCACAAGAACCAACCTGAAAAATCATGTGCAATCACTTAACATCCCAATCGAAACTAGCAAGGTGCGCAGTCGAATAAAACACTACACATCAGGAAAACCAATCGTCGGTTTTGCTGATTAATCAGCCGATGGTGGGCATATACTGTATGTCTCTTGTACAATCGGTGTTTTTATATACTGTATGTCTCTTGTACAAATCAGCTTTTTTTATATCGGTTCATCTCTTTGTAATAGCACCTTTTACAAGGCAAGCTCTAAAACGTTTCCTTCATATCTAATTGTGTAGGTTGTGCTGCTAATTGCTCTTGGCACACTTGGAACCTTCCTTGACAAAGGTAGCCAAGATGTTCTTTTAAAGGGTGGTGGGAAAACTAACTCCTTTGATTATTGGGGAAAGAAAGGACGTTTGGATTTTGGAATGTTCGTTATTGTTGTGTCCTGGCTCATTGTTATATTGATGGTTGCACTGTTTGTTACTGGACTTCATGAGAAAGTAACTATTATCAACTGGCCATTGACGGTATGTAGATTATCTGTTTTTTACTTGAGTATGGATGTTCAGTGTTGGCATATAGTCTCAATAATCCATAAAGGAAATTGCATACAGTGAAGGTGGTTGTATATCTAATGCAAAATCCTGCAGATTTACACAAATATCATCAATAATAATGTATTTATGAGATGCACCCTACTTTATTATTTTACTCTGTCTAACACCAGACGATTTTACTCGTCAGGGGGAGAGTGCTGCCACTCAATGGGTTAATCAGACAATCCCTGCTCATGCATCCTGTTAACCTTTAAGTGGCAATAATGCACCGTCTTTATTATTTCACTATGTCTATAAACACCAGGCGATTTTACTCGTCAGGGACTCAGGGGGAGAGTGCTGCATGCCACTCAATCAATCGCGGTTAATGCAATTAGCTACGTACAGCATTAATTTTATGTCAATAGATACGCAGCCACTCGCCTTCAGTTCAGTTTTGTTTGTATATTTTATTCCACACGACTGCTTGTATTGGAAATATTTTTCATTGAATTTACTTTTTTTGTATTTTACTATGCTGGTTAGGTTGCAATCAACATGGTGATTTGGGGTGTGCTGCTATTTATCGCCGTCTGTGTCATAGCAGACACAGCTCGACAGTATGATGAGAAAAAGTTTGGTACAGATCCTTGGTCATTTTGTGATTTTCTTAAAAAAGATTGGGTTGGATCTGATGCCAGATGTGGTCATCTAGTTGGTGCCGCGGTAAGACTGGCAATTATTATGACCAGCAGACAAAATTTCTTGTAAATTATTTAACCTTTAAAAATAATCTGTACTGTTGTTTGTGTCCTACAACTTTGTATTAGTTATTAGGGACCGTATACGTAAGCAGGACGGCAACGCGACTACACGACGGCTATTCAAACAATAATATTCCTGATTCCGCAGAAATAAATGAATATTTATTTTAAAAGTCCCACGGGTGTTAGAGACGTTGTGTTAATTAGCACTTTTCGCAACGGCAGAGATTTTCATGTCTCTTGTACAACGGAAATATTTGAAGCTGCAAACAAGTGGTACTACAAATTTACCCAGCAGAAATGCGTTTAACCAAAAAGCGTTTTGTTTTAATCTCCTCAAACTATATTAAATTTATACAGTGAACAATACACAACAACTTTTCTCCGCAATAATTTATTTGAAGAAGTTCAATTTGGCTGCACACGTTTTAAATAGAGATGTGGCAGCTAGTAGCCTACCTGGATAGTATCTAGGGAGGTGGTGGGTGAGAAAAAGGAAGGTCAGGTCCAAATTCCTTTTAGCCTTAACGGAGGTGCCCGCCTCAAACCCAATAATCTGTGTCAGGGGGCTATACAATAGTATATGTAGCATGCTGTCAAAAGCCCTGGGAACGAGGTTGCATGCTGTCATGAAAGTGCAACTGGTAGTTTCTTGGTTACAATTTACAGATAGGTTGAATGAATATAATTTAATAACTATGTAAAATATAAATCTCCGATTCTGCAAGAAAATGAATTTTTTCACATTTGAATATTTTATGCTTTTCTAATTGTTATTTTCATTTTTAAATGCTTATACAGGGTGTATCAAAAAAAACTGAACAGATTTGAAATTGCTCTCAATTTCGCAAAACACCGATTTGTGTCCGGTTTTTTATATATATAGCTTCTTTGGGTACTTAAAATATAGAATAATGAAAAAAATTTCTTGAA